CGGGGCAAGAGGCAGCGCTTCGTGGACAAGAACGGTCGGTGCAACGTTCAGCACGGGAACCTGGGCGGGGAGACCAGCCGGTACCTCTCGGACCTCTTCACCACCCTGGTGGATCTCAAGTGGCGCTGGAACCTCTTCATCTTCATCCTGACCTACACGGTGGCCTGGCTCTTCATGGCCTCCATGTGGTGGGTCATCGCCTACATGCGTGGGGACCTGAACAAGGCCCACGATGACACCTACACCCCCTGCGTGGCCAACGTGTACAACTTCCCCTCCGCCTTCCTCTTCTTCATCGAGACCGAGGCCACCATCGGCTACGGGTACCGCTACATCACCGACAAGTGCCCCGAGGGCATCATCCTCTTCCTCTTCCAGTCCATCCTGGGCTCCATCGTGGACGCTTTCCTCATCGGCTGCATGTTCATCAAGATGTCCCAGCCCAAGAAACGGGCCGAGACGCTCATGTTCAGCGAGCACGCTGCCATCTCCATGCGGGACGGCAAGCTCACCCTCATGTTCCGCGTGGGCAACCTCCGCAACAGCCACATGGTCTCCGCGCAGATCCGCTGCAAGCTGCTCAAAGTAAGTCCTGTCCCCCCTCTACCTGTGTCCTGTCCCCCCTCTACCTGTGTCCTGTCCCCCCTCTACCTGTGTCCTGTCCCCCCTCTACCTGTGTCCTGTCCCCCCTCTACCTGTGTCCTGTCCCCCCTCTACCTGTGTCCTGTCCCCCCTCTACCTGTGTCCTGTCCCCCCTCTACCTGTGTCCTGTCCCCCCTCTACCTGTGTCCTGTCCCCCCTCTACCTGTGTCCTGTCCCCCCTCTACCTGTGTCCTGTCCCCCCTCTACCTGTGTCCTGTCCCCCCTCTACCTGTGTCCTGTCCCCCCTCTACCTGTGTCCTGTCCCCCCTCTACCTGTGTCCTGTCCCCCCTCTACCTGTGTCCTGTCCCCCCTCTACCTGTGTCCTGTCCCCCCTCTACCTGTGTCCTGTCCCCCCTCTACCTGTGTCCTGTCCCCCCTCTACCTGTGTCCTGTCCCCCCTCTACCTGTGTCCTGTCCCCCCTCTACCTGTGTCCTGTCCCCCCTCTACCTGTGTCCTGTCCCCCCTCTACCTGTGTCCTGTCCCCCCTCTACCTGTGTCCTGTCCCCCCTCTACCTGGAGCTGCCGACCCCTCTTGTGTCCTGTCCCCCCTCTACCTGTGTCCTGTCCCCCCTCTCCCTGTGTCCTGTCCCCCCTCTTCCTGGAGCTGCCGACCCCTCCCGTGTCCTGTCCC